ACACACTCTACTTCGCAGACTTGTCACTGCTCGATTGTACTTTGTACGGGCACGCCTCTGAGTGCAGGAGATGTTATCAAAAATGGTTGGGCTGATTCTGGAAACCAATGAAAAAGAAACTACCTGAAATTACCAAATCTGAAATCGAACAATGTTTAAAAAAAAAAAAAACGGGTCTCTTTGCAAGAAAACTATTCCCTCTCGATACATCTTTTGATGTCGGACTTGCCATTCACCTGTCGAGCTGTCGGATCTTTCTCCACCAGGTCAAGCTTGTTGCCCACCTTGGGTCACCCAGTCCAGTCCGCAGCCGAGAAAAGGAAAGCGAACGCTCTAAAAGAAAAAAGCGATGGCCTCCAACCTAAGAGCGTCCTTCCTAGTAGCGATGGCCCTTGACTCTAGTAGCTTCTTGCTCCTAGTAGTAGGGCCAGGAGCCCCTAGTAGCGTCCTTGATTCTAACAGCGATGGCCTCCAACCTAGAAAGCAAACGCTCTAGGACCCATAGATCATCTTTGTCTGGTGCAAATTCGATGTATCTTGCCACCCAGAAATGGTTGGCAAAACGATGACCAAGCCCATTCTTGCTTCCCCCCGTTGCCCGCTGTTCAGTTGCTGGCCAACATGATAATGATGTTCGGCTCCGCGTTTTGCCGCAACTCTTCCAACCATTTCAAGCCTGAAAATTCCAATTCTTCAAAAGCACCACACGCCTTGATCAAATTCAAACGTTGAAAGCCCACTGGGCCAAGTGGCAGTTCTGGAACGTTGCATTTCTGGTTACATCCTTGGCCCCAAAAACTCAGAAGTAAATCTCATTGTTCTTCAAGAGTTGACACAAGATGAAAGGAACGAAATCAGAAAAACACTGTTAAAAAAACAATATATATTCTATTAGGTAGGAGGCCATTGCTATTAGGAGCGTACTTGTACCTGATAGTTTACTAGTCCCTTACTTAATTAGGGAGGGGGGAGCGGACTTTAAAAAAACAGCATATTCTTGTCGAGCTTCATAGACCAGTAGTGCTCCAACAGCTCGGCGATAGTGTGAGCCTCCAATGAACTTGCGCAGCCGCGGTCAAAACAAACGGACGCTCAAGCAGTTCAATCAGCCGAACAGACTTGGGAACGTCAACTTTGTTTCTCTGCAAAAGATAAGTGTTAGTAGTGTCCTTCAAGAACCGGGACGTTGTTTCGTTCGAACTGTTTGCCGCCAACTTTGCCACCTTTTTTTGACCCCCAACAAGATTTTTTTATGTGCATTGAGGCCGGCAAGGGGCCCCAAACTGTGTGCGTGAAAAACTGGGGTCTTGCAAGATCTTGTCTCCTTGTGCGTCTAAAGCGTGGTACGAGATCGGAAGATCCCTCGTGTGATGCCATGAGATCTCCGCAAGGTCCGTTCAGAATACCTGTTTTTTTGTTGGTTTTTTTTTTTTTTTTTCGAACGACCAGAGTAGCCCCGTTCCTAGCGTTCTTGTTCCTAGTAGCGATGCCAGGAGCCCCTAGTAGCATCCTTGCTCCTAGTAGCCTTCTTGTTCCTAGTAGCCATAGAAGATCTCTATAAAACACCTGCACGACCTTTGACAGGATATCCTGCAGGGTCTCGTGACCTTTGAACAGCCTCTGCACGACACATTCCCCACCCCCTAGGGCCACACTTGCGGGGCAAGGGACTATGAAGCATCCTGACACATTAGAGGTCAAACCAATGTCAAGTTCCACATTTAGACTTACAGATTGCCATATCGGATTTCCAACGTGTTTTTGCGTATCCGAACAAGCCACTCTAGCCCAAGGGGCTTTTGGATCGGTGAGGGACCAAGATTCCAGGTTGCCGATCGAAGCACGTTCACACCTAAGCGCTTATACCTGTGCAAAGCCACATGCAGCGACATCGGAGAGTGATAACTATTCGCGGCTTCCAACCTACCAGCTTCTTGTTACTAGTAGCGATGCCAGGAGCCCCTAGTAGCTTCTTGTTACTACCAGTAAGGCACTTGTTACTAATAGCGATGCACTTGTTCCTAGTAGCTTCTTGTTACTAGTAAGGGTCTCCAAAGCAATGGCCTCCAACCTAGTAGCGATGCATCACCCTAGAAAGGGCAATGCATTGGTTCCTGCCACATAGGGCTAAGAACTGACGGTCGTGCCGGTCAGGTTTCGTGCTCTCAAGCAAAGGTCTTCAGAGCGCAGTTTCGCGATTTTCGCGGCGACCGGAGTGGGCTAAACGACGAAAATGGTTTCTTCACACCGACTCTCGCAACAAGCGTTGCAAGCGATTGAAATCGGAAGAACCATCGAGAAGAGATGCAGTTTTGAATGTCTCCGAGAATCGCATGTGCGAATTGACCCACCCGCATCATCCGTAAGATCTCTTGGAAGACCTCTTGAGATATGTGCTCGCACCAACCGAGTGCAAGGATCTCTCGAACCGAGTTTGTGCTCGCACCCCTGCACCGGCCACAACTCTGGACTTCCTCCAAACCTCGAGAACCACAGAGTTCTCAGTTCACCAGGCACGGATCATGCCATCACGTCACGCCTTTTCCAAAAGACACCTGCCAAGAAATCTGCACTTCCAAAGATGTCAGATCTCCTGGAGCGCATTAAAAGAGATGTGGAAAACATTGAACTCCCAAGGATGTGTTCTTTCCGATTCAGGGAGCACTACAACAAAAACGCACCACTCCCAAGTAGACTTGTCCACGGTTGGACAAAAATTCGCCCCACCCTGTGCTGTGTTTCTGCGCAAGACAACGCACGCAAAATGAACCCTTTTCATTTGGAAAACAAAATAGTTGTTTTTCACAAAATTAGTTTTTCAGTGTCGCTTTTGTTTGCATGTGGTTTTGCATTCGCTGAGTGTGCGGCTCGTAATGGCTCGGTATCTTTCTTGGCCTGCCGTATCCCAGATCTGTGCCTCAAAAGAACACAAGGAATCATCAGGTTCGCCCAACACAAGCTGCAAGTACAGCTTGAAAACTCTAAGAGGCAATTAGTAACAAGAAGCTACTAGGGGCTCCTGGCATCGCTACTAGGAGCAAGGACGCTACTAGGGGCTCCTGGCCTTACTACTAGGAGCAAGGACGCTACTAGTAACAAGCCAATTCAGATAAGCGTTCAGACAAGCGTTGGCCTTGACAGTCCCGCCAACTGCCAAAGGAATAGTGCCTCGAAGTCTGGGATTTTGCATAGCAAAAATAGAAAGCAAAAATAGAAGTAACAAGAAGCTAGTAGTAACAAGTGCCACGCTAGTAGTAACAGGTGCCTTACTAGTAGTAACAATGTTTGCTATTAGTAACTTACGACCAAAGATCCTTAAGGTACGACCAAGATCCCCCGACCCCTGATGCACTCAGAAGGTCGAGTCAGGTTGAAGTGCAAAAGTATGAGCGACATGGAAATGCTCAAGGTGTCCTTGTGTTTGTAATCGAAATGTTCGGTATAACGCGCGCATTGGACTGTTCATACTTGTCAAACTTTGGCAACACAAGTCAAGTAAAGAGCCAGAATTGGTAGTTTCATCACAACAGTGAAATCAAACTATCGTGTTCATTGCTGATTTCAAGAATAAGGCTACATCTATCTTGAATAACTTCCGAATTATAAAAACTTTAGAAGACCTTGTCAAACAGAAATCGGGCATCCGCACGGGTGGCAAACTCCACACCAATAGTGGCTGTTGGGGCCTTAGGCAAAGTACCTGCAGACCGAAGGCAGTCATCAAAGAAAGGCTAAAACGTTCGAACCTCACAAGAAGAAAGAAGCCAAGGGCATTTCTACTAGGAGCAAGGACGCTACTAGGTTGGAGGCTATCGCTACTAGTGTGGAGGCCATCTCTTTATAGGTTGGAGAAGGTTTGTCGTTTTATGTCCAAAAGCTGAGATTTACCTCTTGCCTAGTAGTAACAAGTGCCACGCTAGTAGTAACAAGTGCCACGCTAGTAGTAACAAGTGCCTTACTACTAGGAACAAGAAGCTACTAGTAACAAGTGCCACGCTCACAATGTGTTTTCAAGATGAAGTTGTGTGAGGGAGCACCCTTCACGTAGCGCGATAAGAGGTGGGTCTTTCCCACCGTCGCATCACCCACCAGCACAACCTGGTCGATAAGTTTGGCGCTGTATTTTCTCATGAAAAGAACCATAAAAGGTACAGTTAAAAAAAAAGAAAAAAACATGCCCTTCAAACAAAAAAACGGCACATAAGCACGGCCTTATCATATAAAGGAGTGCTCGTCATGCAGCTAACTTCGACGAAAAGTCTGAAACAAACACTTGCCTTGTAGAGGTGATCACACCCTGGCAGAGAACTTCTATCTACGAATCTCATCCGAGTCTCGGTTTTTCTCATTTTCGTGTTCTTCTTAGAACCCTCTCTCCCCTTGAAAAGTTCTCTTGGAGAAAATTATCCCTTCCTTTCAAGATTGCTCAATTTCTCTGAGCTGGCCGCCATCTTCGTCCTCCATGCCTTCTGAGCTGAGCAAACCTAAGCTAAGCAAACCGCACGGGTGTACTTCCATCAAAATATCAATGTACCATGACTTCAAGGACCTGCTCTAGTTAAAGTAATCTGGGGATGTGCAAACACAACTGAGAAAAACAATAGTGCAGACCAATCAGGTGGCCTGAAAATTGTTTTGAAGGATATCTCGGGCAACTTGCAACGCTGTGAATTCAAACAACTGTATTCTGAGCCCAGTGCTAGGAGTGCGCCAAGTCGATCCAACGAGCAAAAAATTGCGCAATTTCACAACGTCTTCACTAACATTCCCAATGAAAATCAGTTGAAACATGCTGCCATATGCTGACAGTGAACAATGTTTTTTGATTTCAAGTTGTGACACACAGATTTTGCCACTTTTTGAAAAAGGCGCATGTCAAAAGCGTTGGTTTCTTTGACCATCGACCAGCGTTGCTTCGACTTTGCGAAAACGCTCTGACAAGATGTTAGCATAAACTACTGTAGCCGCTGTGCCATCAGCCCGGAAACTCGAGATGCAGTTTGATACCTTGCACGTCCAACCTGGCCACATCAAGTAAAGCAAAGCAAAACAATATTTAAAAAACAAAAAGACATGTTGGCATTGGTGTTCTGCCATCTTTGACGTTTCTGCAATTTTTGTAGCTACTTTAAAGCCCCCCACAAAACAAAAAGGTTTAGAGAGAGGAACGCTGTGAGGGCCCGTGTCTTTCATTGTTTTTGTGTGGTTTTTACTATATTTGGGCCTGTTACACAAAGGATATGAAGTCTGTAGTGAAACCTGTCTTCTTGCATCACATGTTCCAACTTCAAAAACAAAAGGATTGATGCTAAGGCTGCTAAGAGTAGTGAAGCAGCTAAGGTAAATGTTGACCAAAAAAATGTTATTGATCTTTCTGGTATCAACTTCAAGTAATGTGATAACCTATTTGTAGGCCATACAAAAAAATACTGTGTAACCATGATCAACCATTTTCTGGCAGATATAACTTTTGTTTGCTCCTGCAAGAATTATCCTAATCATTGTTTGGTTCACTTTCTCAATGTCACTAACAATACTATCAGTATCATACTCATAATTTTCAATGTATCTATCTTTAGATGTTGAAATTTCTACAGTTTGGCTTTCTTCAACTTAGTTATTTTTTTGGTTGACCCCCTCCCAGCCTTTGCCAAAAGGATAATAATCTGGAGAAGGAGGGTCGACCATTCTGTATCCTCCCTCCTAGCCTTTTCCAGAGGCTCCTAATCTCTGGATCTGGAAGGGGGGTCGACCAAAAAAGATACGTTTTTTTGGTCGACCCCCCTCCCAGCCTTTGCCAAATGCTCTTTATGTTGTTTTTTTGCTTCCCCCCCACCCCAGAGAGAGGTCCTTGTGTGGCACATAAGCTTTTGTTATTGTTGCACAAATATTTCCCTTTTTTTAATATATACAAATTAATATATAAGAAAAGTTATATATAGATATATAGATATATAGGAAAAAACATTTGTATTTTAGTACAGGGATTTTATTCAACACATTAGCATTTTAGAAACACTGAAAAACGCAAACCCCCACAGCGTTCCTTTCTGAAGGTTTAGTGCCTTCAGTAGTGGAACCCTAGGCCGTGCAAAGAATGAACTGCTCCAACGAAAGGGCGCAGTGTATAGGAGATTTGGCCAAAGAAACAGGATGGGACCTTGATAGCACCGCCAGGAGCTCTCTTTGATAGAACGTTGGTTGACTTCAATTTGAAGTCTCCTTTTACACAACTGCCCAAAGGGTCTCAACGAGCGCTGCAGACATCAAGAAGGCAGTTTGCGAAAAGAGCAACAGCATTTGGATGAGTGCTGTTGCAGTGCTGCAGTGGGAAGGGCCTGCAGTGGAACCAGGTACCCAAATCCAAAAAAAATTGTGAACGTGCGCAAGATATGGTGAATCTGGCAAGAAACAATAGGAAGACTGGCAGCAAAAGTGAACACTTTGTGGCGGCTCAAACTATGACTACTCACACTTGGAGTGCTCAACAATCTGAAACACAATCCCAACTATCAAATCAAACATCTCCGAACATATAGTTTCCAACAAAAGCCGGGCTTTGATTTTGCAAGAACAAATGTGGAAACATCTCAGACATCTCCTGCTTCTTGGCTGTCTTGGATTCCAAATTCGGATTGATGCTCCTTCGCGAGGCCCTGCGCTTGCGGATCAAGCGCCGCTCTTCAGGTAAATTAGGATTTATCAAATCGACTTGGACAAGTTTGCCTCGTTCTGCGCCATGCATGCTTAGCCTCCGCACAACGAGTTTTTGCCAATTTGAATACGTAAATATGAAAACCAACAACGACAACAACAACAACAACATCTAGAACACTAGACGACGAGTGGCCCGAAAGCACTTTTCATCACGTAGGAAGTCAGAGTGTGAGTTATCTGTTAAGTGTTCAGTGTCAAGTGTTAAGTCGAGTGAGTTGAGGCAGTGTGTGGGTCTCTGTGTGTGTGTGTGTATCTATGTCTGTGTGTGTGTATGAGTCTCTGTCTGTGTGTGTGTGTGTCCGAGTAAGTTGAGGCAGTGCGTGGGTCTCTGTGTGTGTGTGTCAACCTCTCAAGAGAGCCGGGTGGTCGGGAGACATGACTCAGCTGCAGGGGCGCCAGAGCAGCCGCGAGAGATGACTCAGCCGCGAGAGATGACTCATCCGCGTACTAAAGTTGCACTACAAGTCGCCAGTTCTCAGCTTCCAGCTCCACAGATTGCTCCGCGTACTAAAGTTGTACTAGAAAGTTGCCAGTTCTCATCTTCCAGCTCCACAGATTGCTCCGCGTACTCAAGTTGTACTACAAAGTCGCCAGTTCTCAGCTTCCAGCTCCACAGATTGCTCCGCGTACTACAGTTGTACTACAAAGTCGCCAGTTCTCAGCTTCCAGCTTCACAGCTTGCTCCGCGTACTAAAGTCGTACTACAAAGTCGCCAGTTCTCATCTTCCAGCTCCCCAGGTACTCCGCGTACTAAAGTTGCACTACAAAGTCACCAGTTCTCAGCTTCCAGCTCCACAGATTGCTCCGCGTACTAAAGTTGTACTACAAAGTCGCCAGTTCTCAGCTTCCAGCTCCGCAGATTGCTCCGCGTACTAAAGTTGCACTACAAAGTCGCCAGTTCTCATCTTCCAGCTCCCCAGATACTCCGCGTACTAAAGTTGTACCTACAACTTCGCCAGTTCTCATCTTCCAGCTCCCCAGATACTCCGCGCACTAAGGTTGTATACTACAAAGTCGCCAGTTCTCAGCTTCCAGCTCCACAGATTGCTCCGCGTACTTTTAAAGTTGTACTGGAAAGGCACAATCTCCGCAGAGGATTGCGCGCGCACTGGCCAAATCGCACTCTCGACTGCATTTCGCGCACTCGACACGCACGATCTCCGCAGAGGGTTGCGCGGGTACCGGACGCATCGCACTCTCGCCTACACTTCGCGCGCTCGACACGCACGATCTCCGCAGAGGGTTGCGCGGGCACCGGACGAATCGCACTCTCGCCTGCATTTCGCGCACTCGACGCGCACGATCTCCGCAGAGGGTTGCGCGCGCACCGGACGCGCGGCACTCTCGCCTGCATTTCGCTCACGCAACACGCACGATCTCCGCAGAGGGTTGCGCGGGCACCGGACAAATCGCACTCTCGCCTGCATTTCGCACACTCGACACGCACGATCTCCGCAGAGGGTTGCGCGCACACCGGGCGAATCGCGCTCTCGCCTGCATTTCGCGCACTCGACACGCACGATCTCCGCAGAGAGTTGCACTTTCGGTTGACGCTGTTCGTCCCACCCTCTGCCTTTAAGAGAGAATTTATAAAGTGGGGAAATGTTTTTTCATTAGGACATCTCCCGTGCTAGTTTTCCATGCTCACACTTGCCTACTCATACTCATTGCATGCTTGCATAGTCATTGCATGCTTGCATACTCATCATTGCACTTGCATCATTGCATGCTTGCATAGTCATTGCACGCTTGCACAATCATCATTGCACTTGCATCAATACACTTGCATACTTTGCACTTGGACGCTTTCGCTCTTCCACTTACACTGGGGTACGTAACACTGGGGTACGTATAGCGTTCACGTTGTAGTGCAAGTGTGGTGGAAGTGTCAGTGTGTAAGTGTAAGTGTCGAAGTGTCAGTGTTCAAGGGATTTTCCGGAAGAACCCTTTGCAATGCTTTCGGGAAAAAAACCATCTGCAGCTGTGTTTGAAGGGTTTGTTGTGATTGTTGAACAACAAAAAGAGTTCCCACGACTGGTTCTCATGCTGACTTGATTGTCAGGATGGTTCTTCAACATTTCCTAGCGAACGATCAATGAGCATACAGTTTGTAGAGCGGAGATGGACAACACACAAAGCAAATAAAGCAGCATTTCCACCAAGGTTCGCATCTTCTTCGTGCGGCCGCGTGTACGCGCCGTTCCCCAGTGCATTCCTCAGCGCCGCTATGAAACGGTCAGTGTTGTTGTTGTCGTCGTTGTTCACACGCAGTTGAGCTCTGGACCGATCCACCATGCAGGAGACCTCTTCAAGCATCCGTCCATTCACCACACGTTCATGAAAGTCCCGGCCACAAAAACATGTCTGGTCTAGACTAATACACCACATGCACTCAGCACCCTCTGCCTGTGGGAAGTGGGCTCCGAGGTAGAGACCGAGGAAGAAGGCGCAGATTGCTGGAACCATGGTCGCCCAGAGAAGATCGGAGCTATAGCAAACCACCAAATCATCGAATAAGTCTGCTTAAAGGGGTAATCTGTCCAAAAAGAGAAGTCTGATTTAAAGGAACAATCGCCTTCACAAAACTGAATCCCAAAAACATGTTTTGAAAAGCGAATTCCGGCTTCCAAGGAAAAATCGGCTTATATAAGAATTTTAAAAAACGGGAGGTGGAAATAATCCAGCACAGCCACAAGTTTCCACAAAGCGAAACCCTTTCCACTGCCTCGGATCTCCTCAATGAAATAAAAGCGTCACAGTCACAGCACCTTTTCCATGCCAACCTTTCACGCCACAAACAAACCCCACCAACAATCACACCAAACTCAGGCGCCGTCAGTGGCTGTCAAGTTTGTCAACGCCACTTCGCTGAAGGCTTCGAGTATGTGTTGGTACCTCTACAAGCAGATGAAATGGTGGAAGAAATCGAAGAACACGACCACATACTAAACTATGGGGCCGCGCGGCGCGACCTTGATAGCGATGGTGGCCGCGCCGAAGGTCGATCGCACCTGCGCAGACCACGTGTGTGATACTTGCAGGCTACAATGACTCTGTCCGGCACAAAGTCACAAATTCCTGCGCCTGGACAACGTAGTCTCCCACATCCCACGCATTGCCCCAAATCGACCCATCCTGCGATGAAAAATTAGGGTTTGAGTTGGTGTGCCATGAGAACTTTTGACACAAACATGTGTGCCAATGCATTGGAAACAAGATGTAAAGTCCTGAATCGATTCTGAATAGATCTTCTCTTATTGAAGATTTCGTTGATTCACGGTGACTCGGGACGTTTCAGGACGTTTCACAGCTCAATGGAAGTCCATGAAATTACTGGGGCCAAAGATTGAAATGTGTATATATATGTATTGAATAATATATTGAATCGTTTATGGTAAACATTTGTAAACCCAAGCTGCTATCTAGAACCTCTAGAACCTGCCTACGAGTTACCGTCGGCGGAGCTTGTCCTCTTCTATTTGCAACCCGTGAGGGAGCCCGCAGGCTGCAAACTCGGCCCCAGCAAGCCCCTCAGACGCTGGTTCCACCAAGTATGTTTTTGGGGGGTCGAAAAAGATGGTTTTGGGTGGTCAAAACAATAGGGGTTGCTCAAAAAAGAATGTTGGGGGGTCAAAAAAACACAGGGCCCTCTTAGATCCACGCAGCGCTGATACACAGGTATTCGCCTTGTGTCACAACTGCCTTGGGCGTGAGTGGACAGTTGCGCGCAGAAACAGCTGCTCGTTCAACACACTTTTCGTGACAATGATCTCTTAGACCTGGCGCGTGCAAGGTCACCATGTAGACAAGAAAGTTTGAGGTAACACGTTGCATTTCCCTTTTTAAAGGGGACTTCGCGCGCACAAGATCTAGTCTAGTAAAAAAAGTCGATGTTCTTCAATGCCCGGTGTCCTATAAGATGTCGTCAGGGTGTTTTGCAAGGTGTACTCTAAGATTTTAGTTTCTGATAACTATGAAAGTGAGAACAATGGCTCTGGCTCAAACTTGCTTTTGCTGATGGTGCGCACACACACTCACCAAAGCACTTGCGCAAATCACGCGCAAAATCCTTAGAATTCGTTGTGAAACACAAAGCCTTACCTACTTTCTTTCCGTTTGCACTCTTCACACCAGTCTGGCACAGCCTGCTTTTTGCAAACTCAACATGTCCTGCCTTAGTCAAAGTTTCCTTAGAGATTTGATGTTCCCAAATCGTGTTCTGCCAGGGCAACTCAAAACTCGAGAAAGTCCCCAAAAGGAAATATTTCAAAACCTTGGGAGCTACTTCAAACCATTCTAGGTCACTGATCGTTGTTTCTCCAGTTCCGAATCGACGAAAGGGCGAACCCGAAGAACATGGAATCGAAACGTGTAACCAAATCTCACTAGGTCGCAATCTTCAATCGCATTCTCACTTTCTGGAAAGTTTCGTTCGTTTCCATTCTTCCATGGACCCCAACGTACATGAAACCAAAAGACTTTGCCAGCTTCATGATCGATGATTGCTCTTGACAACACACTTCGATGAACAGGAAATAATTTCAAATTCCCGTTACCCTCAACTTCTAAGATCGAAAACAAAGGTCCGTCCAACACTTCAAATCCCAATGCGCTTCGGTGAATCTCAAAGAGAGATGATGAAAGACACTTCGTTAGCAAGTCCGCCCGGTTGGATGTTCCTTTTCGAAAGGAAAGTGTCAAGAATCCTGAAGCAACACGCTCTTTGATCCATTCCATACGGATTTCGAGACGCCTTGACTTCCAAGTTCTTCAGAAGCTTCAGCGACGACTCCGAATCGGTGAACGAAACTCCAGGGAAGCTAGTACCCTTGTACCCAAAAAGGGGTTTCCAAACATAACCCCACAGTTTTCCCAAAGCTGACATCTCTTGCGCTACACTTTGCAACGCAAACAACTCACTCTCCATGCTAGATAAAGAAACAAGTTGTTGGTGACGTGTCGATGTTTTCACAACACTCCCTTGGAAAGTCAAAATCCCTCCAGAAATGCCTCTCCTTCCAGTGGTCTTCAAGGG